AAAGAATGCAAGTACACGAAACCAGCGAAACGCAATCACAACCACAACACACAATGACAACAGCACTGCATGTCAGTGTCGTGCGATTAGGCTGTGGATTAGCGCCACAACCAAGAACACAGCAACACCAAACATATCAATCTCAGAGTACCATAGCACACTATGCCCACAACAGACATGTGCAACTCTGGACTCTACTACACACACATACGCACATAGTTGCGAACCAGATCAAACCATTCCAGCATGCTTCCGAGCCGGCCTGCGTTGTGCATTTAATGAATGCAGTAGTTGTTGTGTTTCACCGGGTGGGTGGCCTTCAAATTCCTTCCCGAGCGTGTCTAGTAGAATTTCTCAATGCGAAGCTGGTGGTTCGTCGGGATCTTGTGTTTTGCCGTGGTTCGGTCTCAACTGATTGATGTGCCTAATCCGCCTCTCACGTCCAACCATCACCTCATAAATAACTTTGCCGTTTCTGCCGATAACAATCCCGCTCGACCACCCCTTCGGCCTTCAAAAATCCCGAGCGTAAACTATGCCACGAACATTGAAAGTACGGAGCCCGACTTTGCAGTCTTCCTTCAGGTGACTACTGCCCTGCTTTTCTATTCTCCGTGGTAAAAGATCATCGGATCTTTCTTCCAAATAGTACTTCTGTGGGGGATTTCCCATCAAGGGCGTTTGGGTTCGGAGCGTTCCGACACATGCACAGGAAAGATTGAATTGCATTCTGTGAAGCCCTTCTTTGCCTTGTTTTACAGATTGCATGTTTGAAGGTATCCACGAACCTTTCCGCCTGTCCGTTAGATTGCGGATGATATGGTGGTGGGAACATCTGCTGAATTCCTTTTTCCTTGCACAATTCGCGGAAAGAAGCTGTGAATTGCGTTCCATTGTCTGTCACTAACATCCCTGACAGGACGAAATATCGAAACAGCCTCTCCAGCTCGCTGATAGTGTGCTGAGCAGTCGGATTGTTTACCGGAATCACATCAGGTCACTTGGTGAGAGTCGACCAAAACGAGATAAGATTAATCTTGCATAGTATGTATATTCGTTGCCACGGTTTCGTTGGTTTGGCCAAGGTTGCCACTGACATTTGTGAGGACCCTTCGCTGCAAGTTGACAAGATACACACTGTTGGCAAAAATTTTCAATTTCCGAATCCATTTCTGGCCAGTAAACAAAACTGCGTGCCAAGGTTTGTATGCGACTGGTACCAGGGTGCCCCGTGTGGAACTACTGAATTATTTGCCTCTGTAATTTCTTTGGCACCACCACTCGATCCCCAAACATAAGACAATTGTCCACAACTGACAGGGATCCACGTCGATCGTCTAACGGTCGCAACTTCACGGGTATGCCTCCGTTTGGTCAACATGTTCGTACACACTGCAGCGCTTTCTTCAAGATTCTGTCCCGTGATGTCTCCATACGAATGGTATCGGGTGTTAATGGTAGTCTTCTCACATTATCAACCAGGATTCGTTGGACTTCTGATTTAAAACTGATAGCTGCAATCACACGATGATTGTTCTCCTTTGGGTGTGAATTGATGAGACAAGATAGGGCATTCGCTTTACCCATTAGTTGCGCAGGTTTATACTGTATGCTGAAGTCGTTCGCTGGTATTATGGTCACCCATCGTTGCAATCGGTTTGCCGTAAAAACTGAAATTCCTTTCTTTGACCCAAATATCGACAAAAGTGACTTGTGATCAGTCAGGAGTGTGAAATGTCTGCCATACAGTATCTTATGGAACCGTTTCATTGCAAAAACGATCGCAAGCGCTTCCTTCTCTATCTGGCTCTAGTTCTTTTCAGCTGCTGTTAGTGAGCGTGCTGCGTGTGCGATAGCCTTCTCTCCTCCGTGCGGAAAAAAGGGCGAGAAAACTGAACCGACACCATAATTGGAAGCATCCGAAACAACGACAATTTTGAAATTCGGATTAAAGTGAGTCAAAAGTAGAGCAGATGTGAGGGCTGCTTTGACTGCATCAAAAGACTGTTGGCACTCCTTTGTCCATTTCCAACCCTTGTCTTTTGTCAGTAGCTGGTTCAGCGGATCTCTGGTTTGGTAAAGGCTTGGTAGGAAAGTGCTATAATAGCTAACGAGCCCAAGGAACCAGCGGAGTTCTGAAGTGTCTTCTGGGGATTCCATTTTTTTGATGGCTTCAATATTGACGGGATCCGGGCACCGACCATGTTTGTGGATGAGAAACCCGAGAAATTTGACACTCTAGTAGGAACTCACATTTTTAAGCCCGGAATCGGAATGCAGCTTCTTCGAGACGCGAAAGCACTCTCTCCAGTGTCTGTATCAAGTCTTGCGGCTCTGAGTCCATAATCAACGCATCGTCCAGGCATACTGCGGTATTTGGGATATCGCTCAGCAGGGTATCCATTATTTGTAGAAAAATGGCCGGTGCGGTTTCCACTCAGAACGGCAGTCGATTGTACTAAAAAGGTAAGAGGTATGTATTTGCTGTCAGTAATGTTCTGCATTGACGGGCAACTGGGATCAGAAGATATGCATCGGCTAGGTCAAATTTTGCGAAATATTTTCCCCCATTGAGTTTGCTGAACAAGTCTTTTGGTACCGGCAGGGGATACCGAAGATCTTCCAACACAGAGTTCAAACCTGTCAAGAAATTAGCGTAAACATGAACTGTACTGTTTCCTTTCTTTACCAACACGATAGGTGCTGCACAATCTGAATAGTGAACTCGTTCGATTATCCTTCCAAATTGTAGTCGCTTTAGCACGGCTTCCACTAAGGACTGGATTACGCAGGGCACCGGGCGTCTTGGTCGGAAGACTGGCTTGGCGTCTGCTTTAAGGTTCAACGCGGCAGTAGCTATGTTGCAGCATCCGAGAACAGGTTGGAATAATGCATCGTGACGTCGTTTTATTTCGGTAATTTGATGTCAACGGTTGCGACAGCAGAGTGACTTGAGGTGGCTGAAATATACTGTTCGCTGATTGATCAAGCAGTTTCAGTTCATCCATCCAGTCGAGCCCCAACAAATCTAACCCCGGCTGGTCTGGATTCGTTAATCGCGGAATTTTACCTGACAATTCATTTCACCAAGCAGATTCAACGTACCTCATGAAGCATTCCGTGCCATGTGGTCCGTTTGTATGAGTGTCGGTCGCCCCAGAATGCCCCAAGTGTCGCGAGATATCAGGGTGATATCTGAAGCTGTGACAATTTGTAAGTTGACTTGGAAGCCGTGATTTTCACAATTGTATATTTGCGCTTGCTGGCCCCGCCAACCTTGAAAGTTGCGGTGATAGATCTGGTCAAATTGGGACGCCGGAACGATCCGACATTGTTACACATCTTCTTGGTCAAAATTGGACGTGCCGCCAGGCAACATGACTCCTTATACCCTTTTCTGCCGCAACGGTTGCAAATTTCAGTTTTGAATGGGCACTCGCAGGCAAAATGCCACTCTCTAAAAAACCAACATGCAGAGGGAGGTTTAGTATGCGATGAACTCACGCAGGGAGCTTTCTTTTGGGAAGTACGGCTGACTGCACAAACAAAATCTTGATGGTTTTGACTGGACAACTGCTGAATCATTGCAATATCGTGTTTCAAATTCCTCATGCGTTGGCATTTGCCGGTCAGTTGCTGCAATGTGACATCCGGATTCTGCTCAATTTTGCTCAGTATTATTGTTTGAATTTTGGTGTCTTCGGATGCTTGTAGAACACAAACGTATAGGAGACATTTAAACAGATCACTTGTCATCTTGTGTAGTTGTGACCGTTCGCACTCGCGATTCACACGGCTGGAGTAGTCGACCCAGTCTTCGTCTTCTTTTTTGTTATTGTCAGACACTTGTACCGGATGCTGAACAAATATGTCCGCTCCCCGAATATTTGCGACAGGACTACAACCGCTTCATCGTAGGACAGATCGGTACTCTTTTTAGGTAAGATAAAATTGGTAAACTCGCGTTCGACAGCACCCAGTTTCCGCAGCATTATTCTAATCTTTTCCCCTGGAAGGTTGGCGAAATCAACCCGGAACATTTCCTCATACTTGTGGAACCAAGAAACAAATGTTATGCCGGCATCAGCGTCATAATGGAACTCACTGGTATGCTGAGTCAGGGTTTCTGGCGAGGAAGCACTTTCACTTGTCCGTAACCCTTCACTGCCAGCTTCTAAGTTAGCATCTCGATCAGCTTGGTCTGGGATGCTTCATACTGCGCCTGTTGTTGCTGCCAAAGTATCTGTAATTGTTCTGTGCTGATTGCAATTTTTGGGTTCGGTTGAATTCGTGTCGCCACTGTTATAACGCTGTCCCCGTAATCGACCGGTTGGTCCACGCCTACTGGTAAATATGCGCCCTTACGCCTGCTCTGCTTGACGCCTTGGCCAACCCTACAGGAAGAAAAACGGAAGAAGACTCAGCCCACCAGCGTTCTATTAGAACCGAGAACGCTCATATTTATGGGTCGATCTCACCAATCCACTAAACATCGCCTGGCGAACTTGGCTACCAGTCTTCTTTGCACACCCCCGCTCCACAAGTGACTGCCCGCTCCGGCTGCTCGGGCATGCCAGTCTTCATCCGCCTAACCGGGGCATGACAACGCACCTAATGGCTGACGCGCGATTTCATCAGCTTCCGGTCAAACCTTGACAAAAGGCATGATGTCTGATGCACGATTTCATCAGCTTTCGGCTGGGCCGTGGCAACACGCCGGCGGGATCTGTCCCAAGCACGCTTTGTGGCGAACATGCGCGTGTTGGCAACCAACTTTCTCGCCCACCTGTCAGTGCTGCAGATGTTCACACCAAACCACAGGTCAACAGTTCCGTCATCCCTTGGCCGCATCGGCTACCGTAATGCATATCAATCCTCTGCTTGTGATGCACGGAATTCTCATAAGTGGGTTCTATGGAAGACGCACCTTGATACTGCTTCGACAAAAGAGAATCGTAGATAATAAGTTGAGAGCGTTGTTTAGATCAAACAAACTACGATCAGAGGGCACCATAGTCGTTGCTAATGGTGCTGACAATCATAACCAGGGGACATTCGTCTCGCATGGGCTTCAAAATGCCAGGGAAAATACTCTTGTGCGCATTGCGAATATGCACAATTGGTGAAAATGTCGCTCTGGTTAGATGGAAAAAGGAGACATGTGTTTGTATTCGACGGGAAATGCCGCAATTTGCTCTTTCATCTGTAGCTTACTGAGTGAGCCGATCGCAAAACATTGAAATCGATCGCCTCATAAGGGGTATTTACGTCTATCCCACCAACCGACTCATGCAGCTTGCAGCAATGCTTATTGAGTGCAACCTTCTTATTACGTATCGTAGTTCAAATGTCCGTCTCTCTGGTAACCATGGGATATCGGAGCTATCGCAGCAACCGTTGGGCTCGCTGGATCCTCAAATACAATCCATATTGTTAAAGTGGTCACCGCGCAAAAGCTCATGATGCAGTTCGTCTACAGGAGAATTAGTCTAACCTAACACATATGCTCCATGTTACCCCTTGCCTAGTTGACGGCTCTCCGGTGAAAGTAGTTCACCAATGCATTAGGATGTAACCAGGTTCGTTTGTAGTCATCCTTCTGTAGTTTTGCGCATGAGTTTAACCGGGTATTACAAGTGCGCGCGTCGATTTGTCAGGTATGGACTGCGACACTGAACATCAATACGGGTAACGTTCAGATCGTTAAGAAGCAATATTCTCCAGATATACCGCTGTTGCACTGTAAATACCTCGGCATCAGAGCCGTGCTCCCACCTGCAATTCGATAGTTCCTTCAAAGAGGTGTCGCACTGCGTGCCCGGTAGCAAGAGTTAGCGGCAACCAAATAGGTATGTTCAGCTGCCACAATTCTCAACGTACAATGCAACATGGCAATGCATACAGTACCAACAACAACGTCGCGCCAGACAACCGGATGCAGGTCAGTTGTGTTGAATTCGGAGTACTGCATCGAGCGAAGAGTAAAAACTGCTGGTGCCGGCAAACCCTAAATCGATGTTAAGCCCGTTAGCTCATCAGCGCTAATCCGGTATCTCCAAAACTGTCAACAAGATGTATCAGCCAAAATGGATAGGTGGATCAAACAATGAAGGGAATATGAAGCAAACACATCCTAATCTGAACCCCGGGACCGGTGTTGGTTGTGAGTAACATGCAACTCAGCGACCGGTCTCGTTCTTATAAACAGAAATCGGGTAGAGCACGAGAGGTTAGAATCGATGTAGTATTGTACTGTGCCATTACATGTCTCAGACTGCAATTCGAGCTCCGCTTATCTCTGGAAGACGATCGTGAGGCGCAGCGAAAAGAGATGAGCACCGGAAATGTCTCTACTTCATGCGTGATCCCAGTGAGAAAAATGGTTGAGGGCTACTTCCACCTAAATCGCAGTCCAAATTGGTAACGGAGCATCCTAGCTCAAATGCACAGTGGGTGCTACAATACACGATAGTAAAAATTCAGAAATTGCAGATCCACACTTTGTCATCACTTCGCACTCAGTCGTCCATAAGGGAATATGCATACAGGTCTACTTTGAGTAGTTAGTGTGCAATTGGGCAGTATTTCGGGCGCATATTCTCACAAGTGACTGAGACCACACGTCTACAGAATCACAAACAACTCATTGAACACTGTGCAACGATCGAAGCCCACATGCGCACCCGGAGTGATGCGGTGTCAAGGATTGCGGACGGGATAAAAACCGCAGTGACCAACCTGCTACAGGAAGATGCTGAGAAGATGGCCAGAATGAGGTAGATCATAAAGGTTGTGAAGCAGGCAGCCAAAGTACCGAGTGGGATGGAGCGTGCCGGATTTTTGAGCTCACCTGTAATCGATAAAGCGTCCAGTTAGAAAAACGGTCGCAGACTTATTCAATGAGATCAATGTAGAATATGAAGTGAGCATAACGAAAATACACAAGATGAACCGACCTAATCCGGACGAGTTCAGGTATGTTGGCACCAGTGAAGTACCTTTGAAGTGCCAAAGGAGAAAAAACAGTGGCTTATCTGAGGATACTTAGGTAAGCGAAAGGTGGAAAGGCTAACGCAGCGATATGATCAAAGCTTCAGTAATGTATTGACTGTAGGCGAATTTGTGAGCGGGATAGTGTGATGAGTTTACGGTGAACAAACGTGTGGTGTGTGTGGTGCGCATGATTCTCTTAGATCATCTGGGTGAGTGCCTAGGAACACAGGTGAACTCACCAGAACTGGATCCAAACAGGGGCAACCATGAAAAGTAAGGGGGAGGGAGCAGTGAACGGTTGCTTTGACCTTCCAGAGCTAGACGGTAATGTGAATTCATTTGATTCGAGAGGTTATCCGGTGCTCTAGTATGGACTTGATGGCTATCCGACTAAGTCGACTCACGGCAAATATCGTACAGACTGAGTAGCTGCCACGCAATATGCCCCCTATAGATTCGTTTAGCTTGGATAAGCGCACAGGTGGACACAATCGTTTACCACACTGGCAGGACATTAAGGACTGTCACCAAAATCGTGTTCGCTTAACTAAGGATTGCTTCTATACCTGCATGAGTGCTGATGCCATCCAAAAAATATGCGACCCAATGAAGTTGCACTTGTTAAGCGAGCCACAAACGCTGCAATTAATACATTCAAACGTACCAGTGTCAGTTGATGTGACTCAGGCAGGGAATGACCTGAGCTAGTAGCATCACAGCCGTTGCAAAAGATAACACTTTGGCGTTCTCCCAGAACCTTACTACTAACTAAAGAGTTGTCCCAGTCTAAGATAAGCAAAATGTATGATTTTTTTGTTCATCGCAATCAGCCGACAATTCAGATATGTCGACCAGCTGTCCGGAAAAGCACCAGACGGCCGTTTCGCCCTATTGGGGCTCATCAGTGGTGCGCATCCTTCGGTCCTCTGTGGAGGATCGAACCCATGACTGCTAGTGGCTCTTGCCAACTAGCCCGCAGCTTATGCAACTGCGCCATGGAGGACGGTATCTGACTATCGTGAATTGTTAGCGAAATGCGATATAGCCCGACGCTATAACTCTTTAGCAAAGTCCCTAATATGCTCACGCAAATCATTTGTTAGAAAAACGGTCTGACAAGTATTCATCAGCAATCCGGTAGTCGGTATGGGACATGGTATACTAATGTGTTCAAAAAGAAAACGGATTTTTGTGATAGCGAGCCAACCGGCGGTGGTAGTGCACTGCGGGTATTCAGCGCTCGTAGAGGCATGTTTGGACAACAAACTGTTTCGCTCAGACCGTTAGTTGACGATCTACAGTTGTAAGTGAACAGTTGCTCAAGAAGCTTGTTGGATTGGCGTCAAAATAACAATGAAAGATGTTGAAGATCAACATGCGTGTAACATGTGGCTATCAACTTGGAAAAAGTTTCAGACATTACATTTGCTTTGCCAAGCAGACGGGGACGACTGTATGAGTCGCAGGCAGTGCTCCAAGTGGTTTAAGCGTTTTGAACCCGGAAGTATGTCGGTCGGTAAGGATTCCAAGCCTGGATGACGTTCCACATCAACAGAGCATGACCACGCGGAGAGATTGCGCTGTGATCCATGAAAATCGTCGACTAACCGTTCAAGAAGTTGTAAATGATGTGAGCAGTAATGTAGGATCACGCTACCAACTTGTGGGTGATAAGTGAGACGTGCTGTGATAGCGTAAAACTCATACCGCGTTTGTTGACAGATGATTAGAAACAGAATTGTGTTGAAATCAGCTAAGAAATGCTTGCTGCTGCCAATGGTGATGTAAATTTGCTTAAGAACATGATAACAGACGATGAGACGTGAGTTTATGGCTATGTTATTGAAACAAAGGTGAAGCCGTCGCAGTGGATGGGTGAAGGATATCATCTTCCAAAAAACATGCACGAGTCGGTCAGACATTAAAGCCTTGTCGGTTGTGCCCTTTGCCTGCAAGGACATTTCCCATTAGGAAATTGTACCAGGGAATAGTAACGCGTCTGACGAATGCTGTGCGCAAAAAGAGGCCTGAACTGTGGGGAAAGCGGACTTGGATATTGCATCATGACAAGGCGCCGGCTTACGCATACCTTCTCCGCAAGTATCCAGTAAAACATGTAACTCACAATGTACCGAATCCAACGTATTCTCCGTACCTAGCCAGACTGTTTTAAATACATAAACCACGTTGAGAGGATCTCGTTTCCAAACCAGAGGAGACTCCGGACATTGCGACAAAAGACTTGCCCGGCATCCCAGAAAGTACGGTCACGGAGAATTTCCAAGAATGGAAGCACCGTTTGGAACGATGTATCGCCAGTAGAGGGGACTACTTTGAGGAGGATAGTGCTTAAAATGTGGCACAGTGAGAAAATGATGTGAAAGTGCGGTTCCTTTTTAAACACACACGTAGTGTGGAAAAGCGTCCACGCCCAACGCTGCCCCACTTGTTGATAAGTTTATCCGAAGTGCAAACACATACGTACGGCACTCAGGCGAACGAAGAAGTCGAGAAATGGTATCATGAAATGATATCATGCCAAGATAAAGCGTAAACTTCACAGCAACACATAACAAATGGCACCGAGTAGCCTTCAGGAAACTAGTGTAGCTGGAAACTTGACGGCATACAACGTTATCGACTCCTTATGCTGAAGAGTGAGACACACGTCTTCGCGGCAACAAGTGCGTTGCGATCTCGTGTTCACGTGGTCTACTGTGCAACATTGGAGTGCACCAATGAGTGTGCCAGAGTCAGACACATATCAAGCAGTTCAGTAAGTAGACGTCAAATAAACCTAAAGGAGGATTCCCCCTACGCACGAGGACAATAATTTACGGATGAGAAACTCTCTTCGATTCGAGTGAAAGAGAGCAATACGGGATGATTCTGGTGACGGAAGTATCTGTGACCGCATGTCTTAGATCAAAAAGATTTGAACAGTATGATGCATAGACCCTCGACCAGTGGGCGAAGGGATAAGGTGAAAGGATTGTCCTGTTCTCCGAGCTGGGCATTTCTGTTGCAGACGTTTCGGTACCAAACTAGGTAACATCTTCAGTGCAGCTATTTAGTGCTGATTCGCGGAGTCTCGTAAACTAATGCCAGATCTGAATGACTATTGATTGTTGCCTGCTTCGAATGTCAGCCTCTGATCGGTTCACGTGTCCGTCATGTGGGCACCTCTTCTCCTTGTCGATCTGGTGCCTAATGCTGGCTTAACCTGCAGAGCTTCATAGACACCCTCCAGCTCCAGGTGTTTGTTGATTGAGTTCCGGCCAGAATGCCAGGCCTCGAGGAACTCACGTGCTCTGCGGTTTCTTGCTCTTCCAAGTATTTCAACGTTCTCCAGACCGAACTGATGGTTCTCGGCATCCATGTGTACTGACAGTAAGGATTTCTCATCGTGGCGGCGGATGGCCAGACTATGTTCGTGCAGTCTGGCCATCCGCCGCCACGATGAGAAATCCTTAATGTCAGTACACATGGATGCCGAGAACCATCAGTTCGGTCTGGAGAACGTTGAAATATTTGGAAGAGCAAGAAACCGCAGAGCGCGAGAGTTCCTCGAGGCCTGGCATTCTGGCCGGAACTCAATCAACAAACACCTGGAGCTGGAGGGTGTCTATGAAGCTCTACAGGTTAAGCCAGCATTAGGCACCAGATCGACAAGGAGAAGAGGTGCCCACATGACGGACACGTGAACCGATCGAAGGCTGACATTCGAAGCAGGCAACAATCAATAGTCATTCAGATCTGGCATTAGTTTACGAGACTCCGCGAATCAGCACTAAATAGCTGCACTGAAGATGTTACCTAGTTTGGTACCGAAACGTCTGCAACAGAAATGCCCAGCTCGGAGAACAGGACAATCCTTACATCCACATCCCGAGCTACAGGTATTCTCAATAATTTCCGAAGAGATAAGGTGTCTGCCTAACAGTCTAAAGGTCGTCGGTTCGAATCTGCAGGCGACCCTCGCAGTGTCCCTAGCCCGAGCCCAATTGACAGTGGTCGCGTAGAAACGAAGCGTCGGAGCGGAGCACTGGGCTATTGTTGATGTCACTTTTGCATCTCCCCTCAAAACTCGTCCGTGGCCTACTATCGTTGATGTGCACCATCAAATACAGTGGAAAAATGTAGATGGATTTAAAGCTTCAAACGCTTAGCTCAGATGGTCGCAAACAGCTTCAGTGGGATACCGCAATTACGAACGTAAAGTGTAACATCGTCGTCGAGTGATTTGTAGTTCATTCAAGCACAAGAGATCGTGTGAAAGTTAAAATGACAGATAGCATAGGAAATAAAAACGGGAACTGGTTGTCATGAAAAACACCTAAACATAAGTGGAACAATTCGTCAAAAGGGACGTTGAGAACCGCAAAGGGTTGATGATTATAACTAACCGGACACGTTTGCGCCGTTCATGATCCCAGTGACGCCGGAGAAGAGCACAGAGTAGACGGTCACAAAAGACATCGTCTTCCCCGTATTGTAATCTTTGACGTACATCGCTACGGAAAGGAAAAAAGCAAATGGGTCGAGGCAACAACGTGGTTTAACAAGCAGCCCTCATGACAACGCATAGGATTAACCGACAGAATAAGTTGAAACGATAACTAATAACCCAAATGAGTAAGAAATGATTGCAAATGAACTGGTCTGCGGATTATCCAAGGGGGGAGAACATCTGCAGTAAAACCTCCGTAAATGGACCACTCAAGGGACTGAACCAAATTGGTCAAGATAGAAAGGTGGTCAACATATGGAGGTTCTATACAAAAACTCAGCGTGCCCTACTCTCCGGTTGCGAGTAGTACAGCTTAAACTTCGCCCCCTCGTATACCCTGTTTCGAGTGTATTAGATAACCATTTAGATAATGGTAAAAAATACAGTCAAACCATCAGTAATATAGAAAATCAAAACGCAGCGTGGTTTCCTCAGAGTGAAATCATGTTTAGTCAGTCTCTGTATGCTTCTTTCTCTTATTACAAACGGAAATAAACCGGCTACCTTATAACGGGTTTATAGAGGAACGTTTATTTTCGGCAAAGGCATGTATGGCTCGAGAAATGAGCAATACAGCCATTTGCCAAGGTGGGACTAATGCCCGACATAATATTAAACAAACGGTTCAATAAAAGTGCCGGGAACTCGGTCAAGCACCGCATGCCCAGTACGTGTCAGTGTTTGTGCTGTTATAGTGATTGTGTTTGATAGACTGCGTCTCGCATATAAACATCATACACACGTATGGTTCCACGGATGGTGGAAATTCACTGATTGGAAAGATCCAAGGTCGAGAGTCCCAATGACAAGAGGCGTTTTGCTGACGCGGGATGGATATATCCCCAATTAGCTAAGATAAGCGGATAATGTACAAAACAGGAGACTGCCGAGAGTGCAGTTTGTGCGTAGTTTCTGGTGGCCGCCGCTGTGTGAGCATCAACGTCGTATTTATCAATTTTGCTTTGGTAAGATTGGGCATTCAAACTCCCGTATGCGACCTGAGCAATGAGTGAGCATGTGTTCCAAATTTTAAATGTTATGCGTGCCCGTGTATGTAGGAGTGTGAGGAAAGGGTTCGAACAAAAACAGTCAAGGTCGATCGGTGGACGCGGTTCTGTGGCGGAACAGTACATGAGGTCACCATTCATGCGCGTAAACACTGATGGGTGGAACAAACATGCCTACGCACATACGCCAACAGAGAATATGCTGTATCGGCAAACGTCCGCGGAGCAGCAAAGTGCAGTGATAGTGGAATTACACATATTGCGAAATCCAGCCACATTGCTATTTGAACAAACGAGTTGCAGGGCGACTATTTAGCGGTAAACTTTCACATGGTCAAGTTATAGAGGTTAAATTAATTATGACTGTCATGCCTCAAATGGTCCACATACAGCTTACGGAGGTGGTCAATATACGGAGGCCTGATTCCATAGAGTTTACATTTTGAACGTTCAAACTACGAAGAAAGGCCAACTTAGAGAAGTGGTCCAATTCGGAGATTTTGTTACAGCTTATAAAGTTAGCACAAATACGAAACCGGTTCAACAACCCCTCTAATGATCAGACAGAAGGAAGAGACGCGTATGATGCTGGTCACGCATGTTATCAAGCAATACGCACTTACATTAAGGAACCTGTCATTGGCATAAATTTGCCAGGTTTTATGAACTCCGAACTGTCCAGACCTCCTGTTCGCACGGAAGGTATTAGCATAAACTTCCATTCCCGTCTAATCGTCAATATGATGCGTAAAGCCCAGTAGGAAATCGACATTTCACTCTTGCTCTTTCCACTGCCACACAGATAATAGATACAGCTATTCGAACCGCGATTTAGATATTTAGAAAATCAGAAGACAAAGGCCACGACAAAAGACGCAATGGATTAAGCATATATATATATATATATATATATATATATATATATATATTTGATAATCTTCTCCCAACTTGCACACGTCGCTCAGGCAAACTGTGGTAAACTTGCGTAATTGTATCGCGTGGTATATTTTTTAAATAACTCGGACATTTTGTACTTATCACGGATTCACTTATAACCAATTTCTTCTACATGCTCATTTAGCGAGCATTTGTCATCATATGTCTTTACATTATTCGATTTCGGCATTTTGAGTGATTTGCTGTTGTTTGACATCCCAAGTGTGGCTGCGCTTGATGTGCATGTTGACAAGGTGCCTACCTGCTATTACCCACTACTTCGTCCATACTGGCTCCAGGAGACAGTTGGTCGTTGCTGGCGGGGACAGGGTGCACGGTTCTTGTGGCCGTGATAGGCTCGAGGAGTGGTTCCATGCAATCAGTGTGGAGCGGACTACGGTCCAGCTACCGCCTTGTGTGCACTTGATTCCCCAAATACAGAGTGCTTGTGTGTGCCTGTGAAGAAGTGCCAGCCGGCTCCGTTGATGAAATGTGGCTCCCATCCGCATGCCTCCCGGTCTTATTCCTTCGGGTTTACACTGGATATAGGGTGTGTGGTAGGAGCTGTTGGGGGTACAGCGCAAGACATCCATGGTCCCTCTTTAGGCGCAGGCGTCCTGTGGCTGGCCACAGTGACAGGCACATCCGAAACCGGATGCCGCCAACCATATATGTGGCGACAGAACCTACGGTGCACTAAGGCTTGTGGTGGCTAGACTCAAACAGATGGTCTACCCACTGTTCCTACTGTTGTTCCCCGGGCTCATATCTGGAGGCTTCCACGTAGCGACCGTTGGGTGGGATTTGGTTTACGCCCCTCTGGTAGCTAACAGCCAGGAAACCAATCCGCACGAGTCAGTGAACTGACCATGTGCTAGACTCGCTGCCTTTCGGGTGCACATTTAATAGCACGTTTTGGCTGAGGACCCGATTCGTTCTCATGTCAGGTGTGGGCGCCCTGACAGTGTCCTAGTCCAAACCCCATCCTTTTCGGCGGTTAGGAAGTGATCGATGATCCTCTTCCCTTAAAAGCTAGCCATGGGTGATAACAGGTCCACGGGTTATAAGCTCATTACTCGATTGGCGTAGAACCCAAGTGCCACGCATTGTCTCTGACGGTGGGAGGGCACCTCTGGGTGCTCAATGGTTTGCTACTATCCACCTCAAGCCAGGTAGTCTCTGGTCAAACAGGTGCAAACCCGCCAAATCCCTCCTGCCTCTGGCCGTGTTCGCAGGTGCGTATCCTACTACCTTCGCGAAACACATTAACTGTTTCACATCTCCAAAGGCTGCGTGTGACGGACCTCAAGCAGATCCCAATCTCTTTCTGCAATCCCACTCCCGAGCTGGATCTTCTCCCCACTGCCTTGTGGGTCAGGCTATTGTGTCATAGGCTCCGGGCGGAGTACCTCAAGCAAATATCCAGATCACCCATTGACTTGTGTGTCAGACTATTGAGTCAAAGGCTCCGAGCGGAGTCCCTTAAGTAAACCTCCGAAGCACGACCACCACCACGTGTGCGATTGCCCACCAATTCTACCATATGCCTGAGCGCAAATCACTCAACATCGGGTAATGGAACGTGTTCACACCAGTGGACCGAAATTTGAGTGAGCGCCGCGAACGACGCACTGCACTGGTCGCGATGGAAATGGCGCGCCACAACATCGATATTGCGGCGCTCAGTGAGACCCGGCTCGCTGAGCAAGATAAATTGCACGAAGCTGGTGCCGGCTATACGTTCTACTGGGTAGGAAACGCCACCTCAACACCACGTGAACATGGGGTCGAATTTGAATTATCCGGTCGCCTCAATGGACAGCTGGTGGATGAGCCGACAGGCATCAGCGTGCGACTGATGACTGCTAGTCTACGACTCGGAAGAGGTAAGTTTGCTACTTTTATCAGCACGTACGGTCCGACTAGGTGTAATCCTGATAACATGTGTAATCAATTCTACACTCATCTATCCTCCGTGATACGACCTGTGCCGGACAGCGGATGCGAACGATGGCAGGCTGTTCTCACTGTTTGCCACTCACTGCCTGACGGTCACAAACACTCGGTTTGCACTGAGTGCGAGTGATATAGCAACTTGGACGCACCCACGGAGTGGTCACGCTCACCTGTTCGACTATGTCATCGTACGTCAGCGTGACATGCGTGCAGTGCGCATGACACGTGTGATGCGTGGAGCTGTGGCAATGGGCACAAATTGGTGCAGACCAAACAGTTCATATATTTTCGCAAATCCATGTATTACACTTCTTTCCATAGGTACTATGGATAAGAGGATGGAGTTGGAGATGGCGATGGTTGCCTGCCTGTGTGATGTGGAATGCATAGCCACAGTGGCAACATGCTCGCGACCAGGTGACAGCTACGACCGTAGAGACCATCGGGTGCGCAAACTGTAAGCGACCCGATTAGTTTGAGGAGAATAATGCGACGATTGGCGCATTGGTCTCGGGGAAGAATGCAGCATTTGCTGCACATGTCGCAGACCCCAGTGACTTGGGGAAGAAGAGTCAGCTTAGCAAACTACGACGGAGACTGGTCTGACAGCTCCGTCACATAAAAATGCATGGTGGACGGACAAGGCGAAGCAGATGGAATGCTACGCCGAACGTGTCGACACAAGGAATTATTTGACTCCTTGAAGGTGGTGTATGGACCGACGTTGGAGCCGCTGCCGATGCTGCTCGATGCTACATCAGGCGCTGCCAGCACGCAGACTGCAGACATAATACAGACCTGGCGAAAACACTGATTTCTCTTGAACAACCGTTCAGAGATCGACTGGACTGTGTTGCACGGGCTGCAACAAGAGATGAAGATGTGTCTTGCCAACACGCCGACATTGGATGAGACGCAGAGAGCTGCGAAACGGCAAGTGTGCCGATGCCGACGGGATCCAGTCTGAAGTATTGAAGCACGGTGGACTCGCGTCGGTGACCGCGCTGCACCACATGGTGCAACGTGTATGGATTGAGGAGGAGGTGCCTCCTGAGCTGAAGGACGCCCTTGTGCTACCAATGTACAAAGACAAAGGGAGCAAGCAATGTGCCACGAATTGGCGTGGCATCAACTTGCTGAGTTGTGTGGGCGAGCTGACTGCCCGAATCCTGCTCAACCGCCTCGGTAGACAAGTTGTGGAACCGAATGTGGCGGAAGAGCAATGTGGATTTTGTTCGAGTCGCAGCACCATCGGTATGGTGTTTACGGCTCGTCAGTTGCAGAAGTGTAGAGAATGACACCAGCCCTTGTACTCGTAGTTAGTTGATTTCACCAAAGCATTTGATATGGTGAACCGCACGCATTGTGGCTGGTATTGGGTAAGTTTGGCTGTCCGAGTAAGTTTGTAATTTAATGGAATGTTTACACAGTGATATGCAGGTGAGGGTGCAGCTGAGTGGACAGACCTCTGATGACTTTGCAGTTGTCTCCGATGTGAAGCAAGGTTGTCTTAGCTCCTGCTCTGTTTACTATTTATCATCATGCCATGATGTCATGCGCGTTTGATGCGACTTGTGATTAGGGTGTTCGTGTGGAGCACCGTATTGATGGTGAGTAGTTGAATATCTGTCGTTTCGGTGCGAGAGCCCTAGTCTGTGAGACAACCATACGTATGTGGCTGTTTGCTGACGACTGTGCGTTGTCGGCGCATAGCGCGGATGAGCTGTAGCACATGACTAGTGCTCTGGCTTCTACAGCGGCCAAATTCGGACTCACCATCAACAAAAGCGAAACTGTCTGTCTATTTAAGCCTTCATACGGAATGGTTCCTTGGGCCTGCCCCAACGCACTGGGTAATCTGGATGTTTGCTTGAGGTACTCCGCCCGGAGCCTATGACACAATAGCCTGACCCACAAGGCAGTGGGGAGAAGATCCAGCTCGGGAGTGGGATTGCAGAAAGAGATTGGGATCTGCTTGAGGTCCGTCACACGCAGCCTTTGGAGATGTGAAACAGTTAATGTGTTTCGCGAAGGTAGTAGGATACGCACCTGCGAACACGGCCAGATGCAGGAGGGATTTGGCGGGTTTGCACCTGTTTGACCAGAGACTACCTGGCTTGAGGTGGATAGTAGCAAACCATTGAGCACCCAGAGGTGCCCTCCCACCGTCAGAGACAATGCGTGGCGCTTGTGTTCTACGCCAATCGAGTAATGAGCTTATAACCCGTGGACCTGTTATCACCCATGGCTAGCTTTTAAGTGAAGAGGGTCATCGACCACTTCCTAACCTCCGAAAAGGATGGGGTTTGGACTAGGACACTGTCAGGGCGCCCACACCTGACATGAGAACGAATCGGGTCCTCAGCCAAAACGTGCTATTAAATGTGCACCCGAAAGGCAGCGAGTCTAGCACATGGTCAGTTCACTGACTCGTGCGGATTGGTTTCCTGGCTGTTAGCTACCAGAGGGGCGTAAACCAACTACCCACCCATCGGTGGTCACGAGTGGGTAGACCATTTGTTAGGGTCTAGCCACCAGCATGGGCGGTGCATCGGTGATCAGCTTGTTTTGAAGAAAGGGGCGGTTACATAAGTAAATAGCACATTACATAATGTGAAGGATGGATTGTGCATTGGAATTCGGCCAAGTGTATGGTCTACATTTGCTTCATAGCGTAAAGCACCTACACTTACAGTTTATCACTAGTGTACTCAGTGTCAAAGTTTCGAAGCAATGTGTGTGCATTAAAAACGCGATCCATCAAAAACATCAATTAATTACCCAACGCCTCTGCCACCGGGATGATGGCACTTATGGGCCCAAATATATCCTCCAGATTGATCCAATAATGGATTATCAAGTAAGAAATAAAGTGACCTGAGTGTCCCATCAAGAAGTGTGCCGTCGGCAAATTTATGGACTGTAGGAGGTCGATGTGTCTCGCGAGGTATAGAAATGAGTGCCAAATTTAGCGCGGAATAGGGTTAATAGAGAAGATAAATGACAGAATGCACAGTACAGATACTCACGCAGCAAATTTCCCACAAGTGTGCTCAGGTTTAGGCCCGTGAATTCAGCGTAGATCGTCACATTTTCCGGAACCGAAGAGTTGTAAAGGAGAGTATTAGATCGCGGCACAGGGACGGGAAAGCTGTGTCGGAAAAAGCTGGCGAAGGCACAGGCAATAATCACGAAAACGACCTAGAATGGAGAACAAGATGGAATGGACCAGCTTATGTTGGAGACGAAAAGAAAAGGAAGCAATGAGATTCTAAAAACGAGTTACCACATTTCCCCACAGTCACCAGTACTCGTTCGTTTGGGTTAGACAACAAGGAAAGGTCAGTCGGAATTTCCACTTAGCGTTAGTTTGGTCCTAATGAACGGAGCTCCGCATCCTAGATGTGTTCAAAGTGTTGTGGCAGGGACGTAGTTTGGTCCCTCCGCTTAGCTTAGTTTCATTTGAATGCATTGGAACATCCGACTATTTCGTACCCTAACTTACGTCGTCTAGTCTAGAGAGTAAGCACAGATAAGCGATTGTATCGGTTGCTCATGTACGAATAGAATACGCAGTGGACAACTGAGTTATGACAGTGGGCTTGTCAAATAAACAAATCGACCAAAGCTTCCTCTTAGGTATGATTACGAGAAGGATTACAAAGGAAACCGACAAAAGGTCAAAAATGCTGTAAGATCACAGATCAGTTGCGTTAAGCTAATAACGAAAATGCACATAACGCGTCAGTGGTCATTCGAACCAGGAGAGACTGTACAAAGGTAGGGTAAGTGGTGCATGTTGAGCTCAGTGTTGAATAGCCGACGCAGGCACATGCAAATTGGGCTTGTATTACAAAAAAACCAAGTTGGCTCAAGTGAGCTGGTTCGCATTAGGATCTCACTCATCAGTAAAGGATGGATACAGTGCCGGACAAAATAAATGATTTGGAGCTCGCCTCACAGGATGTGTGAATTCACGACAGAGATCGGATTTCGCCGTAGCTAGAAAAGAGACTAACTGGAAGTTATCAACTCTGCTAAATGTGTACGGGGTTCCTGAGGGGGACATTCAACTTAACTGGTGAACATGGGAATAGAGTAATCGATCCCGTGGAATAGCGCGTTAGAAGCAGAGGCGAAAAGTTACTTGTAAAGAAGAGCATCAAAAAATACCGCTCCTTGGTGAAGTGTTTAAAACTGTTCTTGTTAAAACATATTGCAGAAGACATAAAAACGACCATTTTGACATTCACTTAAGGCAATTGGAATGCATCCGATCCCCTAGTAGAGTTGATAATCGAAATTAAGTGTAGTCGATGTGCATGTGGCCAATGTGATACGGAGCACAGAAACCATTCATATTCAACAGCGATGGGTAAAATGTATATTGGCGCCGGATCAACTCGAAGTGCAATTCGCGTCTAAAATCACAATTCGTGATCGGATTCACCCATCGGTGAACTCTACAATTAGAAAGGATCGAGGCGGGGCCTCAAAGCGGGTTGTTGTAAGGGGGCACCAATGCCAAAATTTACCATGCCTAAATCCTGGGATCCCAATTAGAAATTCAGATTACACGGAAATCAAGCTTGATAGTGATCAATCCACATATCGCTACGTGATTTTCCCTCTGTTACGCTTTGTCGATTTGTGCCGCCGAATTTCGTCGCACAAATAAGTGACCATATTCATTAGATTGAGTCTAACAAGAATTTTCCAGCGTTTCCAGTCAATTGGATATACTCTCTACGGATCACCACCACTAGACAGTTTGCACGTTCGGGTCTTTCCGTGTTGAAGCTCAGATGCATAAGTTCATCGCTTCCGACATCAACAAGGCTACTTTTGGTCTCAACTCTAAGACAATGCAGGCATTATAAAAATTGCTTCTACACTTACGGGCACTGCAGCAGTTTTCAAACTAAGTGGGATCAAACTTACGTAAAACATCAAGATCTCGCATTCACCGCGACGTGATAGATAAGTTGAATAGCTGTTTCTGGTACCGGCTTCTTACCCGCGATCTCGAATATGTCCATCAATAAGTGCAGTGGCAACTACTTGCACAACTGGTCTTCTGTAACCATCCTTTAGGGTCTCGGTCGGACTTGGTTACGGTGACCAAGGTATGTGCTATCAGACACGGCGACGTCATATAACATAATGCCACGGTGGGACGTAATTGTCGCTCTGGTCCAGTTCTGGTGACCAGCTCGGTAATCGCGTGCGTACAAGGACGAAAGGATTGCGGTTGTCGCAAACTGCAGGCAGTACTGGAGGCATTTCGGCCGGGACGAGTAATTCGTGAGTGATGAGCAGCTTTCGGCCCATCAAAGCTTCGGCAGGCGATTGGCCACCAGGATACGCCGGATTCGGTGTGGTCCTGTGAGCGAATAAAAACGCCTGGATAGTTGCATTTATTGTCCCCCACCCTGTGACTTCAGGAGTGCTCTCCTGAAAGTGTTCACGAACCGTTCCGCATGCCCATTGGACTGGGGCGATGCAGGCAGGTGGCTGATACCGTAACAGTGGCAGAAATCTTCAAAAAGCGAGGACGTGAACTGAAAGCCGTTGTCGGAAACAAGGAGCTCTGAAAGTCCGTGTTGACTGAAGATTCGCAGGAGACAAGCAGATGTGGTGGTAACGGTCGTAGGGTTCAGGGCACGACTTCGAGCAACTTGGAATAGACATCAATAAGCAGTCGTTGATTGGACCAGCGAATCGATATGTATGTGAGACCAAGGTTTCTCGGCCGATTTCCAAGGAACTGATGGTTTAGGTGATGGTATTTTGGTTGTTTGCTGGCGTTGTAAGCAGTGACGAATAAGATCCTCAGTGTCGGTGTCTATACCGAGCAAGTAAGCAAACATTCGAGCGATTGCTTCCATTCTGTTCTTACCAGGATGTACAGAATGGAACTGACGGAGCACGACTTGTTGAAGGCAGACTGGAACCACGACGCTGCCAGCAGTCATCAGACAATAATTTACAACAGACGCTGAGAAAGCTGCTTGAGTTCTCCGGACAGGGCAGCGGTAAGCCAACTTGTTTTGATGTAATTGATAGTCTGGCGGAGGATAGGGTTATGGTTGGTGGTGTGACGGATGTCGGTTGTAGTGACAGGAAGGCTACAGATCGTTTTCGAAAATTTATGGCACACATCTTCCTCAGTGGCAATGGCTGCAATCACTGTGTCCTCTTCTACTGTACACTTGGTAATGACGCGAGAGAGACCGTCAGCTTGACCGGAATCCTCCGTGTGCCGAATTGGATCTTGAAGTCGCAGCCAAGAATTATGATGGCCCAACTTTGAACTCGGCTAGCTGAGTGCGCCGGAATGTCTTTCTTAGAAGCAAAGTTTGATAGTGATAGCTTGTGATCAGTCAGCAAAGTGAGTCATCGACCGTAAAGCATCTTGTGGAACTGCTTGACTGCGAAAAGAATGACTAATGCTTTCTTTTCGATCTGACAATAATTCTTTGCTCCGGATACAACACGGCTCGAGTGCGTATACAGAGGCCAAGACCACCGTCGAACACTGGGGCGAACCGTTTGGTGATGTCGCCGAGTTGGTCAGTCGGTACTGCCTTGGAATGCACCTCGCTGCAGATGATTCGAAAAGGTAGATCATTAAGGCCCAAGTTTTCGAACAAATCGGGACCAAGTAGGTTGAGTTTCAACCTCGTGATGTAGCAGGTAGCATCGACTGTGGTACCCCGGAATAATATAGAGCAGTGCTGCTGCACAGTTAGCTGCATTTGAACACCACAGGCACTGATGTTGGCTTGTGAGGTCGTCTGGAAACCTGGCTTGCCAAGGGATAGCCAGAGATCCTCCGAAATCATCGTGATGTTTGGAGTAGTGTCCAACAGCAACCAAACCGGTAGACAGTTGATCGTGACATTTACGAAGTTATTGAGGCCGGCTGTATTGACCTGGAATGTATCCAGCAAGGTCATGGAATTGCCTACCGGGTTGTCTATGCGTTTGGGTCTGGTTCAGTACCTCTTCCTGATACTGGAGGTATGGGCCGTGCCAAGTTTGGCTCCTTGGTTGGCGTAGGGTTGCAATAGCCATCTCGGTGCCCCACCCGACCATAGCGCTGGCATCCGTGCTGGTTCAACGTGCAGTCGCGGTGGAAATGCCAGGTACCACAGAATCGAAAAGGAAAGGGTGGAGGCTTCGTTCGGTCGAGTTGGGCTGGCCGCAAGGAAGATGGCGGCTTGACTGCTGCGACTGAACGAACCATCCCGGACGCAGGAGCATTCTGCATCATCGCGGCGTCGTGCTTCAGGTTGATCAGCACATGGCTCCACCTCGGCCAGCTTCTGGAATGTGACGGTGCTGTCATGTTGCGCCTTAGCCAAAAGGCGCGTCTGTATGTTGGCACTTGTGGGACTGAAGACCAGTGAGGAAGATGAGAGATTTGAACCGAATCTCGGTCAGCGAATCAACTTGAAAGCGTCCGCACTAGCGATTGACGACCCATGCGTTCGCAATGAAATCGTCGGTCTCACGTTTAGCTAGCTAGACATTGGAACCGGGTATAGAACAGTGAAGAATGCTCACTAAATACTTGCGACAGCGTCTGGATCATCTCGGAAAGAGGGGCATCTCTGAAGTTCTTTGGCAGGATAAAGTTGGTGCACCGCAGGTGCACGATGGTGCGCAGTTTATGCCGTAGCAACCGGAACTTTCATGCATCATCCTGGTTGGCCAGATCTACAATGAACGGGGCCTCGAACGGTTTGTACCACGAATCAAACGTCACATTGGCAGTAGGATCGTACAGGAACGCGAAGATGTTGCCAGCAACCTGATTCACCGACCAGGAAATCCCAATGGAACCTGAGTGAAGCGAAGAACTAGAGTTTTTCGGTTGGTACGGATATAAAACACAGCTGTTGTTGCAAAACCTGCTTCAACTCGGCATACTCTTCGGATATGGTCCGAAAAATACCGCCGCCACTAATATAAACCTCCTGGTTAGTTTCGACTGTCCTATTCGGAACGACGAACTTTTCATTCGTTGGTGCCCAAGCACAGAGTAGCCTAGGCGATTCGAAATAGAACATCTTGTGAACTTAGCCGGTAGAGGTGAACTCGTGACTGAAAGTTAGACGGAATACTTAAACGCCACACCACTGTACCGATACTCGCAAAAAGAAGAATGGTCAATAGTAAGAGTGTTTTTACTTACG